ATATATATATAATATATGTTAGAAAAACAGGACGGACTTGATTTTCCATGTAAAAGCGATATTGCCCCAGCTGTAAACCTTTTAAAGTCTGTAGAAACACCCACTGTATATTTCACTAGTATCCATTATGGAATTTTCTCAAATACAGCTAACAGGTGTTTGAGAAGATTCAGATCTGTTAAGACAAGTTGATACAAGTGACTGGAAAAGCTGGAGAGTTTATGTTGGATAGCTGAGGAGATATTGGACAATAAGTTGCGCCACGAATTTTTGACCGCACAATAGTTTGTATTTTTATTTTCTTTGATTTAAACAACAACAAAAAGAACCCAACTAAATTAATTTAAACACTTTGTAATAGGGAGCTTCCAAAAGCGAACAATTGTGCACAAACAGGGAGCCATAGAAAGAGAAGGAAAACATGGACTTCCTCTTTTAGATCTTTCTTTTACATAGGACGTGTGACGTCATAACACGAGTTACGCTGTGAGTGAGTAAAGAGGTTATGACCTCTTTGACCGTGAGTCATCACATTTGTTGACGTAACAGATTATTTCTAACAAAGACGGAGACAAAATATCGCTTAGTAACACCCGGAACAGAACTACTTCAATATAGATATCTAATTAAGACAAATTAAAATCAGGACTTCCAGTAAAAGTCTGAGAAAAATCGGAGCATGAATTCAACATTCTGGCATAACAAAACAAAAAACAAACAAATACAAAACAAAAACAAAAGAAAAACAAGCAAAAACAAAGGAACAAAACAACAACCACAAAAAAACATGATGTTTTTGAATTGGGCGAGCTGTAAATGTTTTTGTTACGTGTCACTCAGAACTAACTTTGGACTCTGTGATCTACTCATTTAGGGATTCTTTTGTCCCGTACGGACTTATGAACCCTAGCCCGTTATATACTGATAGTTTCGTAACTCCCTCCCCCCCTCCCCCGCTCTACTGATGGTCAGAGCGCACGGACTCCTATCGGCTGGACAGAAAGAAATGAAAGTAGCGTGCGTCCCCGACGTCTTGTCACCACTACCACGTCCTCACTTCGGAGACGTCTGTCCGGTCTCTTCACAATCCCCGCCCGTCTTGTCACCACTACCACGTCCTCACTTCGGAGACGTCTGTCCGGTCTCTTCACAATCCCCGCCCGTCTTGTCACCACTACCACGTCCTCACTTCGGAAACGTCTGTCCGGTCTCTTCACAATCCCCGCCCGTCTTGTCACCACTA